AGCAGATACCTGAAATGTCTGTAGTTAATCATTCTGAAGGGAGCCACAGGCAAAGCTTATCTGAAAAACAGGGGCCATCTCAAGCAGATCTGTTTGATTGCTTAAGGTGATTATTTTCTTGCTTGGAATATTTGTGTACCTCTATATCACATGGCAGCAAGAAGAACATACAGTTATTAGTGTTCTACCACACAAGTAATACAGACACACATGGCATATGCCAACAGCATATAAGGACGTATCACAACCAAAATAGAAAAATGCTACATATGAAAATATTCATATGCTCTTAAGAGTAAATCTTCCATTAAGCAAAATTGAAAAACAACTTTGGAGAAAGGTTAATAAACGATATGTTCTACAGCAGTTAATAGAGAGAGCTTTTAGCAAGACAGAGGCCCTGAAAAGAAGTAGCATGGCATTTGTTTCTGGATTTCTACAGATTGAGTTTCCAATCTAACATGTGTCTGAAGTGATAGAGAGGGGAGAGGAATACTGGATATTAAGCATAAAATTGATAATGATTCCAAGCTTCTCAAGTTTTACTCAAGAAGATGAGTATTTATGAACTGACAACATCAGCCCTTGTCCAGAAAGCCAAGTGCTTGAGGAAATCCCCAGCAGCCATTTCTTCCAGAAGAGTCTGTTCTTTAGTCAGTCTTAAAGACTAAGCCCTGGTATGAAAGACTTGGATCACTGGATATCTCCATACATTTCTGGAAAAGTAAATTTTTTTCACAAAGATATTTTAATGAGCTGGATTCTCTTACAAAAGCTAAGTTGCAGCCCTAAGATGCCATCATTAAATGTATTCCCAATGACAGGTTATAGGTGTCAGTATGGGATATTGTATTCATGAAGAATGGCATTTCTGATTCAAACCTATAATACAGTCAAATGAAAGTAGATGAAGGAATATATAAAAGAATAAGATCTAGATTTATAAACTATTTTCATCCAATATAGCCTTATCTTGACTAGTTGATTAAAATACTATAACAACTATTAAATACATTTTTTGAATCGGGTTCTGTATGTCAGTTCACATATCTCATGAATTAAATGCTTCAGAACACTGGCTGAGGTACTATACTGTAGCTGGTAGAGAAAGTCGGTTGAAATGACTGAAGCCATTATCTTCCTTTGGAATTACAGCATTAAGAAGAAACTTTGCTGAGAAAGAAGACCCACATTCTATCACCTCATTGTTTTAAGTCTGTACATCCCACAGTCTTGCTATCCAAGAATATCAATCATGCCTGACTTTTCTTGTGTACCATAGAGGAGATTCACTTAATATGTAACAACCTTGAGGGATCATCATTTTCCAAAGCACAAACAGGGATTTTAGTTCAACAGGCAAACAGCATCTGCTAATATTAAACAATGTTAATAATCCTTTTAATCATAATCTTGTTTGTTTAAGGTAAGCATTAGTTCACCAAAACCATTTTAAAAAAATCACAAAATCACTAATCATAATTTTTCAATTTCACTTACACAGTCTTAGAGATCCTTTTTAAAAATGTAGTTAGGATCCACCAAGGCAAAACTATGTAAAACAAAAAATGTTCAAAGAGGAAAAAATATAAAGGAAAAATTCTCTCAACTGCACATATAGGTTCTGAATGATTGCACATAAAATTCTCATCAGAACCTTTACAATACCATCTCAGTCACATCTCTCCCTAATTCCAATGAAAGATCATGGTTTTCATTCTGGGCAAATCATTGAGGTTTTCATTTGTTGCTCTTATAATAGATCCAGATGTGTTTGCGTGCAGTTGTTAAGAGAGTTTAGACATTTTCTCCTTTCTTCTAAAGCTTGCCAACTGAAAAACAAATGAGCATAGTGAACAAGAGTAACATCTTGACTGTAGCTACTTAATAACGGACAGCTGATTGTGAAGACAATTCTTGGTGAACATGTGTGCTAACAGGTTCTAGGACTCAAGATGTGAGAAGGGTACAAATGTTACACTTTCTCGAATTGTCTTTGCAGCCATCGGGCCCTTTAAGAAAAGTGTTAATCTGCTCTTTAATACTGAAGCTAGGGAGGTAGAACAGGCTTTCTCCGGGTTCAAGGCCAATCTGGTCTACATATTGAGACCTTGTCTCAGAAAAAAAAAAGTTAAGAGGCTAGATTTAATTTTTAATTATCTGGTTTGTTTGTTCTGTTTCAAATGGAAGAATTTTTCTTTGTGTAAAAAAAAAAAAGAATTGTTGAAACAACCTTTAATCTCACATTTTCCCTCTAAAAGTTAATTGAAATTAACCCAACTATAATCTTTCTTATAAATTAGACTATGTTTATAGATGGTGAGAAAATATCTTTAAAAATAAAGCTAACTTGTATACTATCCCAAAGAACTGATTAAAAGATTAAATATCAAGATTATGCTTTGTAAGAGTCAGAGATGAATAAATTTAGTGCAAGGAGTGTTTTCAGCATTTGAAAAATGCTTAGCGAGAGCGATATCCCCGGGTAAGAGCTGACAAGATGGGTCAGGATCCCAGGACAGAAGGAGCAGCAAGCACAAGCCTAACCACCCTCTCACTCTAAAAAGCACAGAATCTTGTTAGAAAGAAACTTAAATCCCTAAAACCAACCTAACAATGACATTGTACAGCTCTGCTGTTTTATAACTTGGATTTCTGAGTTCAAGTGCTGATTAGCTAAATTAAAAAATAAACAATGAAAAATGTGCCCAATAATTAGGCAGTTAAAATTATATTAGGAAACTTGAAAAGAGAGAAGCTTATCTTTATCTGTCAATGTCTCTTTGTCTGTCTTTGTCTGTGTCTCTGTGTCTGTCTGTGTCTTTGTCTCTCTCTGTGTCTCTGTCTCTCTCTGTCTCTGTCTCTCTGTCTCTCTCTCTGTCTCTCTCTCTCTCACTCTGTGTGTGTGTGTGTGTGTATTTGCGCACATATGCATGTGCCAGAGGGTACCCATGGGGAAGGCTGTATAGCATGTATGTACATACCTGTGGAGGCTAGAAGTCAACCTTGCATGCTATCTTGCCATCTGTCTTATTTTATTAAAACAAAGTCTCTCGTCAGCTTGGAGCTTACCACTGAGGCTAGTCTGGTTAGCCAGCAAGCCCCAGGAATGCATCTATCTCTGCTTCCCTAGTACTCGGTTCTGGGGTGGAACTCAGTCCTTCATGCTATGTGGCAAGCAAGCATTTTACCAACTGAGCAATCTTGCAAGGCCCTTCCCTATTTCCTCAAACTGAATATTTAAGTTAATATTTTAAGATTGTGTTCCACAGTTACTTAAAACACGTCAATTTCATGTTACAATGATAAAATCATATGTAATCAGTAACTATAATATTTCATAAAATACTATGAGCTAACTGCTATGTATTTGAGGTTTTCAGTAGCAGGGGAAGAAATCAATCAAGACTGTCAGTTGACACAAATAACATTGGCTGAGGAGCAGACTGTATTAGAAATATATAAACACATACTCTTATTAGAGTGTCCACATAGAGAACTAACTAATCATGTTATTTAACACCCCTGAGTTCTTGAAAAAGGAGCCAGAGAAACATGTAGGAAACCACAGACTAAAAATCTTAACCCCAGGAGAAGGAAATACACTTGGAAACTTTAATAAGGGCAGACAAGTGGACACCTGGATAGCTATGTAATTAAGAACCTCAGCATGAGACATGAAAGAGATATCAGAAAGAGAAATTATTCCCAGATTTAATTGTAAAGTCTGACCATCAAAAATGCAAAAGACATTCCATCTTGATTTCAAAATGTAGGTCTGAATACAAAATCAGAACACAACCAGAAAACACATTCCAGCTCAATCCTCCCAGTGAAGTTGCTGAAACAAAAAGCTAAATTGAGGAGAGGTACCTCTTCAGACACTGTTGGAATTGTCAATGTAGTCACGGTGCCCAGCACAGTTAGCAAAGATCTAAGTTAAAAATCACATTATTCAATACGGTAGAGCATTAGAGGAAGCTATGAGTTTATGCTATTGGTGCTTTTGGAAGTGCAAGAAGGCAGGGCATCAACCTCAAGAAAAGCACTCAGATTGCTCAGGAGATACTGACTCAGCGGTGGTGGTCTAGATCTCAACAAGTTAGAAAATATCCACAGCAAACAAGAGAAGATTTCTGTTGCTGGCTAAGCATAGCTCTGGGATCAGTGTTCTGAAGGTTAATCTAGACAACCAGTGCTTTATTCTGGCACTTCTAGAATTCATACTTAGTTTTCTATTCAGAAATAAAACCATTCTCCCTATCTATTTGAAACAGCTGTTAGTTGAGTTAATCAAGTGTCTCAAGGAACAACATAAATCAGACTGTCACCTTCCCTTTGTAGACCTGTAATGAACTGCACATTTTTATACTGTTGCTAGGAAAATTAATACATAAATAAATAAATAATGGCTTCTCTAAAGTAGGTTACAATTATTCAGAGGCATTTTTCTTGCTGTCTTAATTGTAAGCTTCTTGAAGACAGGCCACTGTTCACTGCTCTGTCTGCTTTCCCCTGTATACAGATATAGTGCCGTTAGTATTTGCTAAGAAAGAAATTAATTATTAACAGGCTTTTCTCAGATTCTTCTCAGAATTGACCCAATCAGTCCTTCCTAACAAGTAAATAAAAGTAATCTTCTTTCTGCAGCCCTATTGCATAATAAAACACAAAGAAGAAAGTGGCTTTTAGCAGTAAAAACAGCATCTGTACGCTGCCTTGGAAACCAAGAGGTTTCAGCCTGGTGGCATCAGGGTAAATAGAAAAAGGCAGGATTGAGGAGGGTGGGCAGGTGTACTCTGCTCACACATCACACCAGAGAAGGATGCTGTGACCACCACCTGGCTGTCCTTTCGGACAACAACTGTGTATAACATCGTCCTTGAATAACGGCCTTGTTGGCACTGTTGATAAGACGGTCATTTGCAATACTTTAAGTTCCATTTTGAAGGAGGAGTACATCTACAGATAGTCAGATGAGGGTAATAAAACACACTGACCTGGATCTGTTGCTGCAGGAGATTAATCTTGTGCTGCTGCTGTAGAAGTTGCTGCTGTTGTCTTGCGATCTATCAGAAATAAAGTTCCATTAGGTTAAAATGAAACACTTGCACCTTTGCCATTACCTCTGTGTCTCTCCTGCTACTTCCTGATGCTTTACTGCACCTCAGTGTGAAAGACTCTCTTTGGAAGGAGGCCATGGGACCAGAGAGGACAGGGGAAGAATCTGAGATAGTCGGGTGCCTCTGCTTTGTACAGAGGTGCAAATGACAGCCTTGTGTGCTAGCTGAGAGTTAGCTCCTCAGTCTGCACTGACTTGCTGGAGACCACAGACTTTAGAAACTATATACTTGCAGAATAAAACAGAAAAATACTGACCACATTTGTCTAATGAGGATAGTCTGGCTATAAAAAGTAAAATCTGCAAGTAAAAGGTTTCCTAATGTGCTGCAGGTCTATTTCTGTCATTCGGCCCTGGCAGACTTATAAATATTATCAAAAGAACGTAAAAGCATAGTAAACAGTGAAAAACTCCTTAGCTTTTTGGATGACACTCTGTGCTCTACAAAGCATTTGTAAGACAGACTGTGCTGTAATTTCAATTTACCCTTTGGGGTGACGCGCTTGTTCACAGTACAGGATTTGCATACAGGTGTTATAGTCCCTTTCTTTGCACAGCAATCAAACCCAGCATCTCAGGAGGTTATCTGGTCTGCAAAAAAGAAATCCTAGCCATAAAATACAAACCCTAGCAGAGTCTGCCTCCAAGTAGGACAAAAACCTTTCCTAAAATGGTGAAGCTTGCTACCTAGCTAGCTGGCCGTCAGCTCTCAGCTGCTCTCTCCTGCTCACTGCCCACTTCACAGTGGACTACAGCCTCAGGCTCTAAAGAGGTTTCTTCCAGAGTATGCACTGCAAAGCAGGGAAGCACTGATCCCAAGAGCTCGCAGGAGGACCTAGTTTCATAGTGCTGTGTGCTCAAGAGCTCCTCTTTCTACCTCTTTCCATAAGCCAGGATTCTAAAATGAACTACGGGAGTGAAACTGAGTGCCGATGACTCCAGTCTCTACCATGTTCGTCTTCCTGTCACCCTCCCTCACCTAGAACAGGAAAAATAGCCACTCATGTCATCCAGCATCAAAGGACAATAGTGGGAGACTTCCTGATGCTGTTCCATGGTTTCTGGACAACTGGCTCATACCGGAAGCACAATGTTGGGGTCTTTAAGTAACCCCAGTTTGAGAACTGGGATTATGTTTTCCCAGAGTTTAAAGTCTTTAAGAAAACAGAATTTAATCAGGTTAGGACAGCCTGCTTTGGCTGGTTGCCACTCAAATCAGAAGTGACCACTCACTTTGCAGCTCTAGGTATGGACGCTGGAACCTTTGAATATTTATTTCCCCTTAGCAAACTGGTGAAATACCACTAGGCATCTAATATTAATGGTCCCTCGTAAATGATAAAGTGCTGCCTAGAAATGCATCGGAAACACCACAGTGCAATTACCATCATCCACTCTACATACATGGGTTTGACACAGTGAAGTATGGTACATAAGCACCATGTGGCTCAAACTCTGAATTTTATTTGCCAATCGGTTGAGCTACATGCTCGCTTCATTGAGCATGACAACCTAGTTTTAAGTGTCATTTAATTTTCATTTTGAAATATAATTACAAAGTGTTCACTGTAAGATATCACTCGTCTGCAAATGTGTCAAGATTAATTTGTGCTAGCTTATTCACAAGTGTCAATAGTTAATTACTGTGTCATCTCTGGATGGCTAAATGACATTCTAACTTCTGATTTTTTACAGTGTTCCTTTATGTTATTTTCCATTAGGGGCTGAGTCCATATTCCTACATGTGGGCAAATACTCAAGCATATAAAATACCAGACGTCACAACTCATTAAAATCAACAGAGCATATACTGCTCTATATATCCCTGTAAAATACATTTAACTGAAAAGATAATTCCAGTAATAATGTCAGATTTCTAAAAACTGCACATTAATTTGGATCTGTCTCATCTAGGACGTGAGAGATTATGCTATAGGATCATTGTTATATTAATGTACTCTGGGAGACAAGAAAATCATTTGTAAAAGTGGTTCATTTTCTAAAAGACATACATTTAAACTCTGATATTTTTTCTTCGTTCTCATTTCTGAGTCAATCAAGTCCAGTTCTTTGAGGAGCCATGCACTAGTTTGCTCAATGCCTCACCTCACGCACACTACAGAGACTGTAGCTCACCATCCAAACCAACACTGCTTTCATAGGGATGAGGGATGGGATATTAATAATTATCTTGGAAAAACAACATAAGCCAAGCAGGGCTATTTGGGGAGGAACGAGCACTTTAAAGTTAGAGGAGAAAAAAAAAAATCACTGGGCCAGTGAGCTGCAAAATCCCGAAGTTTTTCTAGAAGAGAATCCCTTCCTCTCTAGAGGAGGGGAGTAAGGCTCCAGTTAGCATGAATATTCTCTGGGTGATTCTGTAGATGAGTATACCTAAGTAATTCAAATCACACCTTCCAAAAGTAATGCTTGTGGTCTGCATTGCTGCTGAGGGTATATTTCTTTGCCCCCTTGAAGATTCTGAATTACTAGAAGTTTCCTTCCCTTCTTTCTCTTTCCCTCACTCCCTCCCTCCCTCCCTCCCTCCCTCCCTCTCTTTCTCTCTTCCTTCTTTCCCTTTTCTTCTTTTGAATTATCATGATTTTATTATCTGAAGAAAGCCTCCAACAAATAGACCAATCAGTGTGATTGCTTACTGAGCTTGGCGCCCACCCCGTACACTTCCAGTTCCCTGGCTCCTTGCGAGCCTCACCTGTTCTTGTTGTTGGCGAGCAAGGTCCATTTGCTGCCGCTGTTTCTCGATCTGCGATGCTGCCAGCTTTTTCTGTTCATCGTGCGCTGCCAGGAGCTGCTCCCGCAAGCTGATCAGCTGGGTAATCATGGTGGAGAGTTGCCGTTCTTTTTCTGCAAGACTCTCAGGTGTACCTAAAATGGAAACAAGAGGAAATCTCACAAGCTTGAGGAATGTCTTGCAGGAAATCAGAGAAAGAGGGGCCCAGTTTAGGAGAACCTCATAGACAAAGGGTATGGGACTGTGACTATTAGCCCTATAAGAGCATGTGTGCTGTGATATGGTTAGTGCTTTCTGTGCCCAGAACTGTGCTGTTACTTAGAATCTCCTTCCGCCCTCTAAAACCAAAACCAAAGCAGAATAACCTACCCATCTAACTCCTTTTAATGACACACCCATCCTTAGAGAAAACCAAGAAACCTGAGGTGTTTAATGTGGCTGTGGGAGGGAGAGATATTTTCTTCAGTGGTATAGCTACAAGTAAGAAGTCCCAGCTCCTATAAATGACACCTTACCAATGCCACTGTAAGTAATCTTAGTCAAACTCATTGGGTTACCCCAAACTAAAGAATGAAAACAAAGACAGGAAAGCAGATGGGGTAGGGATTGGGGGACAAGCTCAGAAGAGGAAGGAGATAGATGGGCAAGAGTGGGAAGGGGACAGCAGATGTAAAGAGAGGTGTCATCAAATACACTATATACTGAAATGTTGTCGGACACATACTATTACATAGAACTAATATATGCTAATTAAAAAACTTTAAAAAAGAAACCAGTCAAAGGAAAAGTCAACCAACATGAACTCTCAATTCTGAATATCTATGCGTCAAATACAAGAGCACCCACTTTCATAAAAGAAACCTTACTAAAGCTCAAAGCACACATTGCACTTCACACAATAATAGTGGGAGACTTCAACACCCCACTCTCAGCAATGGATAGATCATGGAAACAGAAACTAAATAGAGATACAGTGTAACTAACAGAAGTTATGAACCAAATGGACTTAACAGATATCTATAGAACATTTCACCCTAAAGCAAAAGAATATACCTTTTTCTCAGCACCTCATGGTACCTTCTCCAAAATAGACCCAACAAAGAAAGAGAACTTCAGACCAATCTCCCTTATGAACATTGATGCAAAATTACTCAATAAAATTCTAGCAAACTGAATCCAAGAACACATCAAAACAATTATCCATCAGGATCAAGTAGGTTTTATCCCAGGAATGCAGGGTTGGTTCAATATACGGAAATCCATCAATGTAAACCACTATATAAACAAACTCAAAGAAAAAAAACACATGATCATATCACTAGATGCTGAGAAAGCATTTGACAAAATTCAACACCCCTTCATGATAAAAGTCTTGGAAAGATCAGGAATTCAAGGTCCATACATAAACATAGTAAAAGCAATATACAGCAAACCAGTAGCCAGCATCCAACTAAATGGAGAGAAACTTGAAGCAATCCCACTAAAATCAGGGACTAGGCAAGGCTGCCCACTCTCCCCCTACTTATTTAATATAGTATTGGAAGTCCTAGCCAGAGCAATTAGACAACATAAGGAGATCAAAGGGATACAAATTGGAAAGGAAGAAGTCAAAATCTCACTATTTGCAGATGATATGATAGTATACTTAAGTGACCCCAAAACTTCTACCAGAGAACTCCTAAACCTGATAAACAACTTTAGCAAAGTGGCTGGATATAAAATTAGCTCAAGCAAATCAGTAGACTTCCACTACTCAAAAGATAAACTGGCTGAGAAAGAAATTATGGAAATGACACCCTTCACAATAGTCTCAGATAGTATAAAATACCTTGGTGTGAACCTAACCAAGCAAATAAAAGACCTGTATGACAAGAACTTCATGCCCCTGAAGAAAGAAATCGAAGCAGATCTCAGAAGATGGAAAGATCTCCCATGCTCATGGATTGGAAGGATTAATATAGTAAAAATGGCTATTTTGCCAAAAGCCATCTACAGATTTAATGCAATCCCCATCAAAATTCCCACTCAATTCAAAACAGAGATAGAAAGAGCAATCTTAAAATTCATTTGGAATAACAAAAAACCCAGGATAGCAAAAACTACTCTCAGCAATAAAAGAACTTCTCGGGGAATCACCATTCCTGACTTCAATCTGTACTACAAAGCAATAGTGGTAAAAACTGTGTGGTATTGGAACAGAGACAGGCAGGAGGATCAATAGAATAGAAGACCCAGAAATGAACCCCCATACCTATGGTCACTTGATCTTTGACAAAGGAGCGAAAAACATTGAGTGGAAAAAAGACAGCATTTTCAACAAATGGTGCTGGTCCAACTGGAGTTCAGCATGTAGAAAAATGCAAATTGATCCATACTTATCTCCTTGTACAAAGCTCAATTCCAAGTGGATCAAGGATCTCCACCTAAAACCAGCCACACTGAAACTAATAGAATAGAAACTGGGGAAAAGCCTGGAACACATAGGCACAGGAAAAAAGTTCCTGAACAGAACACCAATGGCCTGTGCTCTAAGACCAAGAATTGACAAATGGGACCTCATAAAACTGCAAAGCTTCTGTAAAGCAAAGGACACAGTCAATAGGACAAAGTGGCAACCAGCAGACTGGGAAAAGATCTTCACCAACCCTACATCTGATAAAGGGCTAATACCCAAGATATACAAAGAACTGAAGAAATTAGACTCTAGACAATCAAAGAACCCTATTAAAAAATGGAGCACAGAGCTGAACAAAGAATTTTCAACTGAGGAAGCTCGAATGGTTGAGAAGTACCTAAAGAAGTGTTCAGCATCCCTAGTCATCAGGGAAATGCAAATGAAAACAACACTGATATTCCACCTCACACCAATCAGAATGGCTAAGATCAAAAACACAGGTGACCCAATCTCAAAAGGACATACATGGTATGCACTCACTGATAAGTGGATATTAGCCCAAAAGCTCACAATTTCTAAGAAACTACGTATAGACCACATAAAACTCACATAGAAGAAGGAAGACCAAAGTGTGGATGCATTGGTCCTTTCTAGAAGGAGTATCAAAAGTTTCAACCAGAGCTCCCAAAGTCTAAACCGCCAGCCAGAGAGCACAAAGGGAGGGACTCATGCATCTGTATAGAGAATTGAGGATGACCTTGTTAGACTTCAGTGAAAGTGGAGGGCCATGGTCCCCAAAAGTTTGGATCCTCTACTGTGTGGGAATTCGAGAGCAGAGAGATGGGACTGGGAGGATGTTTGGAGCACACCCTCATAAAAATTAGGAGGAGGGGGTATGGGATAAGGGGTTTGGGGGAGAATGGGAGAGGAGATAACATTGAAAGGTAAATATGTATAATATCCAATAAAAAATAACATACAGATAAAGGGTCTAAAAAAAAAGAGAAGGAGAGAGTTTACTTATTTTAAATTATTTTCAAAAGTTTCTAGGAGTTGCTAATTGGCCAAGATCCTATTTTAAGCTCTCCACAAAAGAATTTAAGTCTCTGTTCAATATTCTCAAGAGAGAGGTAAATCCTAATTTTCCTCAACAATTAATTGACAAAAGAGAGGTAATCTCACAAAAAGTAGAAGAAACTATTACTAATTGATGTATTATATAGTCTGATTAGTTGTCAGTGGTGCTATAACAGTCCTTTGATAAAAGAGATTATTAATATAGATTTATATTTCTTTAAATAGGGTCTTCATGACTCTCTGAGTGTGGAAGGAGCGACTGTTGGCGCTTCTGCCCTGATTTTACAAGAACTCTGAAAAATTGGCTTTAAAAACAAAAGAGGGGAACGGTACTCCCTCAGAAGGAGTCCCCCTGAAATACTCTCCATCATGCCTTGTTCACTTTTATCTCTCTAAAGCTGAAAGCTCATAGCAAATCTGCTGCTGACTGCCTCTGGCACCACTGAGACCAACAAAACTTTGTCACAGATATGGGGAAGGACCCTCTTACCCTTAAAGGGAATGGCCCAGACCCAGTTCCCTTATGGGGCCGAGGATTGATATGCCTGTCTGATACCACAGAAGGCACAGTTAACCGGCTACAAAAAAAGATTACTGAAAAAAATAGATACCCCCACAAAGCCAGGCAGAACCATAAATACGATGAATAACAATTTACATCCAGGGAAGAGAAATCTCCCTGAGAATCCCCTTCTTTTTCCTTTCCAGGTAAAAATGAATCACCTGTGATGTCTGCTGTTAGAAGTTCTAATCCAGATGCTGGCCTCCGAACTTATACTACTCAGACCTTTGAAGGGCCACTGACAAGAACATCAAACAGCTAGAGATTGACATCACTAATCTTAAGAAATCCCTAGTTTCGCCATCTGAAGAGACCTCCTAAAATCGTAAAGATCCTTATTGGACTTGATTTACTCTAGAACAATAGAAAAGGCTTTACAATATTACAATAGTAAAGGTTGCCTTTACATAGACAAGACAAGGAGGGTTAAAGAGAGCATGAAATAGGTAGTGAAGGCCCTAAGAAAAATCAGAGAGAGAAAGAGACAGGTGAATGCTGGTACAAAAATTGGTTTTCAGCCTCTCCAAGGTTGTCAACCCTATTTCCTCCCATCTTGGGACCAATATTTGGGTTCTTTTTGTTTTTTTCTGCTGGTCCCTGGCCCTCAAATAGGCGGACTAACTCTGTGATACAACAGATAAATAATTCAGTAGCAAAACCTACTCAGATACATTATCATAAGTTAGCTATGGAGGACCACGAGACTCAAGATGAGGTTGTTACTTTATACAGGGTGTTTCCAAAACCCATCTCCACCCAACCTAAAAGGGGGGACTTCTGCCCCTAGACCAAGCAGAGAGGGGCCTCCCAGAACCCCCTCTGACAGGCGATCTGAATTCTTGCTTAGGCTGCGAGGCTAAGCACTGCAAGGGAATATCAATAAAAGATAAAAATATCTATCTGGGTTCCCTGAGGGACAAGCCTGACTGTATAGGGGCTGATGTCAAAAGTATCCCCTCTCCAGGAAAAAGACATCGGGATGGGTATGGCCCTCATGCTTCACTGGACAATGACAGGGGGACTGGAGCCATTACAAAGTCCCCTTCAAATACTGGAGGTCAGGCCTCTATCCCAGCCTTCGCAAGTTTAGAATTGCCACA